AGTTGTAGAGAGCGATGAGGTCTCCCCTGAGCCTCCTTTTCTCCAGGCTAAACAGTCCCAGTTCCCTCAGCCGCTCCTCATAAGACTTGTTCTCCAGACCCCTCACCAGCCTCATTGCCCTTCTCTGGACACGCTCCAGCACCTCAACGTCCTTCTTGTAGTGAGGGGCCCAAAACTGAACACAGATTTCAAGGTGCGGCCTCACCAGTGTCGAGTACAGGGGCACGTAGTCTGCTCTACTACCAAATGGGTGAAACTGTATCTTTCAATGGCTTGGATTTTAGTGTGGGCAGATAATTATTTTAAAGAAAGGAATGTATCAATGATTGTGTCAATGGTTTAAAACACAGTTTGTGAGTATGAGGTGCACATTTCCTGTATACACATCTTTCAGTTGTCCAGCTGATTTAATTCTTCTGTTAGAAAAATCAGACTAGGACTTTGGTTCCTCTCCAAGTAATCCAGAATTTTAAGACTTTGTCTTCATGTAATTATTCTTTCATGCCACTAAGTAGTGGTTTTCCTGTGAAACATTAGTTATATGCTTTATACTAGAATCAGTGCCCCTTGTTGATAAGTCGATGGGAGATGTCTGTCACTCTGTGGAATGCTAATTACCCTGTCCTCTTTCCTTGAGCCTAGATACCTGGGGAGTCTAGCAAGTGTGGCTAATGAACAACACATGCAGTGGCTGTGGGACTTCAGTAGGAGGAAGCCCTTTTGGATAGGCAAGTACATCAGCTGCCTGTCCCCTCTGAGGATTACAGTTCCTGTGCACCTTGGAAAGCAGAAACTGCTTGCAGCAGTTCCAGCCCCGTTTTCAAATGTGGCATTGTCCTCAACTTTCTGCTGCTTTTATTATTTCAGAGCAAGGCTTTAAACTGAAAGCCGTAATTTACCTCGCTAATTTTATGTCTTTATCAAAAAGAAGAGTTCATTGTGTTGCCTACTGCTGGGTTATTTTTGCCTTGAAACCTTCCCCGTTTTAATACTAGCTGGGAAAATAAGTTCTGGTGGAGCTCCTACTCTTTTGTTTATCTCACCTTTCTTTTGACTGTTACTTCATTTATCTTTAATTTACCTTTTTTTAAACTTTACTTTAAATAATTAGTTATGTTACTGCTAATTTAATGGTATCATCTTGTATCAGAAATCTTGTGAATTAATTAGATGCTCAGCTAAAGAAGATTTCATCACGTCATTTTAGGTTTAACTGTCTATTTCTTATTATGCACCTTTCATTTCATGAGAAATGGAAAGAACTCAGACAGACCTTCTCTGTACCTCCTGATCCCTTTCTGTGAACGACTGCCTTAGCTCATGGACTAGTGCTATTGCTTTCTTCTAACCCGTCTTGTTTCTGCTACACTGTCCACATTTTAAGTTCTTTTTTTCCAATTGTGAACTGCAATTTTCAGCTCTTGGTAATTTTCTGAGATGGATTTACTAGCTATACTAAATTAACTTTAAAAACTACAGTTAGTTTGGGATCATGTTTAATGGTATCATGATATTGTTAACCTGAGAGAAATAAACTCCTCTGATAAGAATAAAGAGTACAAGACCATTGTGTCAATTTTCTGATCGTGGTCTCTTCCAGTGAAGAAGACAGGTCATGTCTAAAATGTGCCACCCTCTTAGTAACTCAGAGGCTAAGTGAAAAGACATGTTTTAGTTTGTATTAATTAACACAGTCTAATTTTACAACTGTTAATTTCAACATATAAACAAGGTCTGCAAAGATCTGCAGGGTAATTATTTTCAGAGGGAATCTGAAGGCATCTGAGGCTGCCCAGATTCGAATACAACATTCTGCTTGGCATCTAAGTATCAAAAGAGAAACCTAGGAGGTGATAGACATGCAATAGATGGAAAGAGAGAAAACATTTTAGATAGGCAATAATGAGGAAAAGTATATTTTCCCTTATTCAGATGGCACTAATTGCCTTATGAAATATTAAATTGTATTTTACTTGTATTCTTCCAGATGGGTTTTTTCTCTCAGCACAATGTTGTATGCATTTTTTAACAAAGGGACAGAACAACATGCTTCTGTTGGCATCAGGCTCCAGACATGACAAACATCACTGATTTGGTCTTACCGATTTCACACAGGCTTGAATGACCAAGTCAATCCTGGACATTGGGAGTGGAATGGAGGAGAACCTGTAACCTACATAAACTGGAGAAGAGGCTCCTACCACTTTCCAAAGAGAGGAAGAAATTGTGTATTGGTGCAGAAGCGAGGAAAATGGCAAGCAACTGACTGCAGGAAGGTCAAACGGAACAGCTATATATGTTCAAGAAAGCTGTAAAGAATGGAGGATCCCAGTGAAAGCATGTGGACATTCATGTTGTTTCAGTTTTATTTATCTGCAGACATCTGAGGGTATGCAGTTAGAAAACTGTCCTAATTATCAGCAAGGTTTATTTTATATGCTGCCAGAGGTGCAGATGCAGATGCATTGGACTCTAACCAAGGAATAGGGGTCAGTTGCAAAGATTAAGTCCAGGTTAAGGTTGTGAACTCTCCCCAAAGACATTTTACAGTATTACACAGACTAAATGCAGACTTTTAATGTACTTTTACACCAAAGAGCTAGGCCTGAAGGCTTTAATCACATTTCTGTGTAAAAATACCTATTTAAAAAAAAAAAAAGTAGCACATCAGTTGATTTGCTTCACTCTTAAGGAGGTGTTGTGAATTGGCAGTTGCTTTAATTCGTTTGCAATAAAAACTGCAGTTTCACCTTGCAGTCACAAAAAGACGACGACTGTTGCGGGTGGAAATGAGGGCAGACTCTGCTGGCTAAAAACAGGTCCTCTTGGGTGATGAGGGGAGGGACATTATGTGAGGAGACTGGGGCTTCTTTGGTGGATGCCCTAGTACAGTGTCTTACGAAAATACCAACAACAGGATTTAGTGGCAGAGTACCAACAGGAGCAAAGCCTTGTATTTCTTTTTCTACCTCCCAAGGCCAGCTTCAGATCCTAGTAGATCTGCTCACACAGAGCTGCATATTGTTTCACATTCCTAACCAAAATTGTTCAGTGTTTTTTGGAGTTGCAGGACGGTGCTGTAATTTTTAGTGTAATTAAATAATGGGACCTCTGTAAATCAAATGCTGTATCAAAGGATGATTTACACAAAAAAATTAATACTGAAGCTTAATCCTAGAATATTATCTTGGGATATTCAGTGATACATGAACATCAATAGGATTTATATGTGTGTATAAACCAATGTAATCGTGAGACATATTTTGTACTAAAGCAGCTATGGCTTTTGAAAAGTATTAATCTAAGTCCTTAAAAGGGATTTGAGGTTTTTTAAAATAATAATGAAAAATCCAGATTTAGTTCTGAGAAAGGCTTAAAAATCAGCATTTAATAGGAAAAAACAGCTGCCCATAACTTAGTTTTAACTTATTTTAAATATATGCAGTTGCAGTGTTACCATTTCATAACATGATAGTAAATTTATATTTGACCTGGCAAAAATCTTGCTTTAGGACCTTCTTACTGCCAGCCTTAAAATTAAAAAAAGAAACAAGTCATAAGCTTCCTAAAAAAAAATTAAAGCTCCTCTCATACCCTCCCTCTGCCCATGATGAGTGTGTGACAGTTGGTGTGGCACTGAGTAGGGTGAATTTGCCCTGTACCTTTCGAACTCTCATCCCTCCCATCTGCCTGCCTGCTGCCAGCGGTCGATTCTCCCCTCGTCCCCTGTCAGCTTGTCTGTTCGGCCAGCCCCTGGATCAATTGCATCTGTACACTATTTGCACCAGAGGTGCAAAACCTCCTTCTGGGGTTCCTCACAGCAATTTCTCAGTCCTGTGAGGGACCGATGCAGCAGAATCACCTCTCCCCTCTGGGCTGAGGGATGCTGTTCCAGGGATTATTGCTCCTTGCCTCCTTGCCTTTGGCATGCGTGGGTTATTTATCCTTCCTCCTTGCCTGGGACACATTAAATGAATATGCATGTGAGTAGCTGGACAGTCTTTATATAAAGGAGAGAACCTTTCTGAAAGGACTGTTGCAGATAAGCATGAGTGCATTGCAGAATTGGAGGAAAAATACTGTGGACAGAACCTCATCACCCTTATTGTTGGTATCAACAGATACAGACAAAAATATCTCCAGGATTTTTTTTTTGTCATGGTAATCTTTTTGCCAAGCTTCTAGACACTTTTGCTAGACACTAACACTTTTTCTTAAGGACTTTTCTAGATCAACATAGGTAGGCTAGTTGTTTCAAGAATTCCCCAAACCAAGCACCTCTGAGTACCCATTTAGACCTGTTTTTATCTCCGATAGTTTTCACTGCAAAAAAAATTAGGATCTAAAAAAGCACTCTTGGGATCTTTTGCTGTTGTGTTCTGGAATTCCAGGGAAAATTAACTAAGAGAGCTTGGTTAGACATGAAACTTTTATTTCTTTAGGGCCTTCTTTTTATAAAAACTACTGAGTTTATTGGTGCTATCTTGATAAAACCTGTCGAGATTATTTAAATACCTCTCCTAATTATTTAATAAATGAATGGCATCAACAGAGAGGGAATTTTGACCAAGGTGCTTGTTACTTGATCAGTAACTAATAAAAGACTCATGCCTAGTCTGAGACAACAGTGATCTCAGAGGTTTGTTTTTGTGAGAAGAGGGGAGAATTTCCCTTTTCTGTATTTCATTTGAACTACTTTAAAGTGATTGAAGAGTATGAAGATTTCAGTACACAACAGACTGTTAGTTGTGCAAACTGTATTTGTTTACTGGTTTCATTAGATCTAATACAATACACTAATGAAGCTAAAATTCTTATATTGCAGTGCAAGGATATTTCTGCCCTGAAAGGCTGCTGAATTGTTTTTCAATACAGTAGGCTGTTCCAAACATTTATTTATAAATTTTAATTTGTCTGTCCTTAAAAATGAAGTATTTTTTCACAGATTTTTACAGCTTTTATTAGAATACTGGAGTTCAAAGAATACGACATACTCAAACAAGGGAAAGCACAAATAAATCACTTTTTCTGTTGCCATAGGAAGTTGTTGTCTTTAAGAGGTTTAGTAAAGAAAGGGTCTAAAATCCTGAGAAGACATTCTGAATTTTTCCAGTCTTCAATACTTTTGAATTAGACTCTGAGTAAACTCAGGGGAAAATCAGTATTCAGAGGGTCAGCATCAGCAGGGGAATTTCAAGAGGCTGAAAGTAAGAACAAGGAGCATGTAAATTCTGGTGTTCACCTATGGATGCCACACTTTCTGGATAAACAGAGGATTTATTTCACCAGAACTATCCATATGCCTTTTAAGAGCAACAGAACCAAGAAACAGCAGCTCAGTCAAAATAACCCAGCAGTTATCCTAGTTTTCTATAAAGGGATGGGCAATGTGAGCTCTTTGTGTGTCTGTCGCTTTTAACCACCTTCTCTCTCTGTCAAGTATCTTTTAAATCTGTTGACTAATTTCAAACAAATTTGACAAAGAAGTAGTTGACTCAAAGACAATGGTTATGAAAAACGATTGTGGTTATTGGTTATGAAAAAAATTGATAGGCAGCTGGCCACAGGAGCACTTCTTCCAAACTAAAATATTCTAAAACATTTGTGTTGTTATTAACTTCACGGAGAACAAGTTTTTAATCTGAAAAAAATCAGGAAAGTTTTCCAGTTCTCTTTTGTACACACTGAAACTTACTGAAGTCTTTATTCACTCATTCTAAAATTGTAATAATAGCTTTGAGGGAATTATATATATAATTCAGTGAATACTGTGATTCTACATTATTTACATCACAAGACTGGTGCTATTGTAATTCTTGTATCCAGAACACTATATATATTGTTATGTTTAACTTTGTAATGTGTGTTAATACAAAACTGAAACATATTTTGGTGAATACGTATTTCTTCAGTTTCATAATCTCACAAAAGCTTTTTTCCTAGACATAAAAAACAGTGTTGGGCATAGTAGAAATGTACTTACAGTTAAGCATAATATACCTACTGTTTACTCTATGCATTTTCTGAATTCTGTTTCTTCTTCTCCATGAGTATATTCCTGAATTAATTCTATAACAACATTTGTATTGTGAGCAAACCATTTTTAAAAGAGAAAATGCTGTTAATTTTGAGAAGTAAATTTAAGAAAAGTTACAGATCTGCAAACAGATATACAAGAGGAAGAATGAATTCAAGAAAGACTGTCAGCCCATAAAAAAAATTTTAATATGATTCTTGACTTAAAGGAGAATGTGAAAAAAAGTCATTGTCCCTCAGTAACCTCGGTCATCTTCATGGAAGAGATGCAAATGTCAGTTCTCCTCTCTTATTACCCTTTAAGAAGCTATGCTGCTTGTAATATGGAGAACTCTGCTACTCTAATTCCATTGCTTAACTACTGTCCTCTACATCAGTACACAAGCAGTATAAGGTTAGAAGACAAGAACACAATAGGGTTTGTTTATTTTTATAGTGTTGAGATAATGTATTTTTTTCGGTCAGAAGTAGTCGTAATGAATAGGAATCTGGTATCTGAAGTACTGGATATAAGCACAGTAAGCAAAAGAATATAATTTTATTCATACAGATGAAATTTTCAGATAAATCTAAATATATTTTTACTTTAATAAAAGAAACCTTATCTGCATCTTCTTCCTTGGATTACGCTACAAAAATTTTCTTGGTGTCAAACTCCTCAGTGAATCACCACTGCTCTCTCAAATTATTCACGGCAATCTAAGAAAGATGTGTCTTCCTGAAGACTGAAATGCCTCTTTGCCCAGACTCTTTCTCCCCTGGCTCACTGTCCCACAGCTTAACAAGCTGAAGCAATCAAGTACATAACCAACATAACTCCCCAGGCTGGGTTTGGAATTGGGTACGCTCTCAATTAGGCAGTACATGTGTGCCAGTACCATTCAGGAGATGCTTCAGGAGGTGGACACCTGTCCAAAATCTACTAGTCTGAGAATTGTAATAGAAAGAAAGCCATCCAGTACATCATGTGTACATACGTGCCGCCATGAGAACATGGGCCAATACACATGAAAGGACACTTATCCTAGCCCCACTGGTCACACATGCGAACATTTTCAAGAGTGAGCATCTACATTTTGGCAGCAGTTTGAAACTTAAGACTCCAGTTCTGTTGCTACAGCACAAAGAAAAGAATCAGAGAAATGTGAACAGGAAGGTATAAAATGAGTGAAGAAAGAAACAATGCAACAAAGGACATGAAACTGAATAGCAAAAGGGGGAATTCATGATGTACAGTATCTACTGTTGAAGGTACAAAACTATACATTTATTGTCCGTTCTTTCATATCATACCTTGTAAAAAGCCTTTTGGTTTCATAACTACTACTTTCCCATGAGGCCTGTATGTGATCTGTTTCCCCAAAACTCAGTAAAACAAAGACCACAGATGGCTTGCTTTGATAAGTACAATAATTGGAGAATAAACTGCATAGTGCTAATTCATTAGTTCTGAGGTCTTCATATGGGTTCTGTAAAAGATATATCTGGCTACGAGTTTGTCTACATAGGATGTGTTTCGAAAAGGATAGGATATTGAATTGGGTTATAATACATAAAATCAATTTTTAATGATTTAATCATCAATCATGCTATGATGAG